ATAATGTTGGGACGAAAATGGAACACTTTCTAAAAGAGAAAATTTAAACCTTATTTTTAGAACTAATCATAAAGAACAGCATTTATAAATGAATTTAAAAGAATACGTTTCTAGGTGCTGAATTAAAAATTGATTGGTTTTTATCATCAGAAGTCATAAGTGACATTAGTCATAAGTGACATTAAAAATGTTGTATAGCTTTGAACTTTACGACTAGTTATCGTAATTTATAGCTTATATATATTTTTTTTACTTCGAAGTATACCAATTAAAACCTTTTATATGTATAAACAAAAAGTCGAAGGCTCTTTTAAAAAAATTACTCAATTCCTCGAAGCAGCATGATTGTTTTAATGAAGAGAGGGTACGTGAGGCAAGTTACAATAATAATATACTCATTTCTAATTAACAAAGCTTTAATTCTTAAATTCATACACCTCTGAGTTTCTAGGGGTTCAGAGAGCCTTATATAAACTTTTAACATATGAGCTTCAAGAAATATTTAAATGTGTTTCAAAAATCGTTTAATTTAAAATTATGGGTAATTCATGAAATGCCTAAAATAGTTAGAACAATCATCTAAGCCGGACAAATCGAGGTGAACCTAAAGACTATACTAAGGTTTCGTTATGTTCCTTCCGCTAATCGAGAAAAGCGAGACTAATTCCGCCACCATATATTTCCTGGACTTGCTAGACATAACAATGCAGTTCGGCCCGAAAATGGTTTCACAAAACGTGCAAGTCCTTTATCCTTTTTTACAACAAAGTCAGGGCATCAGCCCTAATGAAAACTAAACTATTTACCCAGAAGTGGTCACCGTAATTGGCTCAAAAGAGTTAAGGCTGGGGAAACTGTAACGCCCTGCCCGGATCGGAATTCGATACCGTATCCGATCCCAAGTCCTGACAGCCAGGTATGCGAGGTGTTTGTGCGGCTCGGACCAACGCCCACAATAACAACTTGACTCGGGCAACGGCATAATTTATGCCGACCGATGGTCGAGAAAACCTCGAGGCAAACAGAGACAATCGCATTTGCAGTCACAATTCAAATGAAAATCCAGCCCAGCCCGGCTAACAGCTCGTAAATCACAAAGGGTATCGAGCATAGAGTCCCGGCCGGAAAGTTGACTGACTGCTTGACTTGGCCAAGGGACTTACCTGCAATCTGCACGGCTGACCATAAAATCCGCCCAAGGCCTCCAGGTTCCGTCCGCCTTTGTTTTTTGCTGTTCAATGGAAAACGCATTGCGGAAAAAGGATGTGAGCTGATCCTGGCCCTCACCTTGATGTTTATGGCATGTAAATATTTATGGTTGACATGACCTTGTCGAGTCCGTGTCCTCCGATCCGCTCTTCGCCTGTCACGCATTTTTTTACGATTCGTCCGAAGCAAAACCGTTGTGTCCGCTCTCCAGCGAAATCTTTATGAGGCATATAATTTTTCCCAAATTTTATATTTCCCCTATCTGGAGATTCTGTTTGCGATGTGTGTGTGTGTGTGTGCTAGCGAGGTTGCCTTGTTCCGGTGTCTTCATGATGGTCATAAAAAAATTGACTTTCCTAAGCTGTGTTGGCTCGTTAATCCTTGTACTACCTTTCCAAGCATCGGCAGTTCATCACGCCCCGGGATTAAGCACTCGGATTTCTTCACATTTTTGCGGGTTTCGCGAATTTCCTTTTTATATTTGGCCAAGGGGTCTGCCTACCTGAATTGATTACTGGTTGTGCAACGGGAAGTGGGTGGCCGATTTGGCGTGTGCTCGACACCTGCGGGAGTACATAGTTAATTTATTTAATTTAATTTGCCAAGAACTTAAGTTCAGTTCTGTCTTAACTTGGTGATTCTTTTAGATCGAATGGAAAATAGCTTCGTAGCGACTTATGCATTTTAGAAACAATTTACCTTGCTGACTTAAAATGTTTACTTAATAATAACTTTAAGCCTTACCTTTCATATCTCATAATAATCCACAAATTTACGATATAAATTTTTGTAAATGTCGGTTTTTCAGCTAGGGTTTTACCAGTTCCCAAACATTTTTTTATGAAATGAATAAATATATGTAAACTGTTAACAATTATTAATAAAATGAATTCATATTAAAAATTCATATGTATTAAATATTTTTTATATGTTACCATTACCATACAATTTTTAACAAAACCTTCTATAAAATATAACCTTGTATAAAATAGCTCTATTTACTTTTCCTGTATGCCAAACTCCTACTCCATTCCAATTTCCAAGCAATTCTTTTGTTTCCCCCTTTTAAAAATGTTTTCTTCATTAGCCGTGAGGAAAATGGCTTTCTTTCTCCATTCTCCCATTCAAGCCGGCACGCACATCCATCAACACCGAAGTGAATGGAAAGGAAAACGCCAAAGAAAACCAGTTGGACAGAAAACTCCCACGCTCCCACTTCACTCCTTTGACACTCCTTCTCTGCGAGACTTCTCGCTCCCTGGACACTCACTTTGGCCCGGCACGGAGCACTCAAGCCCTCGACTCTCGAATCTCGAATCTCGACTCTGGAATCCCTGGCCTTTAGTACAAAGTCTGGAGTCTCAATCGAACCCCAGGCAAAAAGACCAGTACAGTGCTCACCGCTGTGATCGCGGCATGTGCCAAAGGCGTCCACGCCAGGTTACGGTTTTATTTTGATTTCGCCTCCGACTCAGGCTTTGAATCTGACTACGGGTCGCACTCATGACACGAGGCCATTTGCCCAGGCCAACGCCCACTGGTTGCCCACTTTGTTGTGGCCAAACTGATTAAGCACAGCCGAGGGCTGAGTCCGTTTAACCTTGGTGGTGAAATTTACACCAAAATATGAATATTAATGATAAGGAAGGGTTAGTTATACTTCAAGACCAAGAACAAGTATAAATAACCTCTGAACAATTTTTGTATATGTTTGGGAAATGGAATTTAAGAGGAAAAAGATAAAAAAGATATGTTTTCTTTTAAGTTCTCTGGCAAAGCACATTTTTATATAAACTGTCTCTATGGTTTATAACACTTGCTTTTTAAATGTCTTACTCATCATAAAAAAATAACTTCTTGTGTAGTGTTTTGTTAATGAAATTATTTGACTTTCTAAAACTTAAAGTGATAATATTATTATGTTTTCCATGCTTCTAAGTGTAAAACTGAAGTTGAGTTTTAATTACATAAATAAATAAATCCATATGGAACAAGCATTCTTGTAAATAACCAATACTAAAAGTTTACCTAAAACCCTTTTTGCTGAAGGTGATTTCAATAAGACAAATATAGCACACGCGTTTCTCTTAAAGATTACTTAGCCGATCACTTGTACATATTATAGACAAATAAAGAACCTGCAACCTGCTGAGCAAACTTGCCATATTGTTTATTTAAGGAATTTACATTTATAATTTGTTGTTTGCCAAGACTGCTAATGGTTGTTCTTCTCTCCGCTTGGTTGTGGTTTCTGTTATTCCGAAGTTTATTGCATTTTGCGCTTCCATTTTCAAGTGGCTCGAAATGCATTATTTATGGGAGTGGTTCTATGGCGATGCGCTAGAAATCCACTTCAGTCAACGTCTCCATTTTCAGCGGTTCTCCCCCCTTCAGCGGCATCCTTTCGCAGCTCAAAGTGGAGCAATGGCTTCATTTCGAGTGACATTTGTCGTCGGTGCTCTGCGGGATTGGCCTGCCAGTTTGGAGCACTTTGGCGAAGTTTTATGGTCTTGCCGGTTCCAATATGGCATTGGGGTCGGGCCCGACACTCGTACAATTGCCGATTGCTGATTGCCGCGGAGTTTGTTTTGACAATTTAATAGCTAAACCGTTTGGCGACGACGGTTTATGTCACAATTTAGCTCAATGTTTCAATTGATTGGGGAATGGGGCTCAACACAATTAAAAAACAAATCACGTAATAATCTGCTAATTACAGTCATTTACGAATATTAAATTTAGAGATTAGATAAGAAATGTGAGAAATTTCTGTTCATTTGACAATATTTTCTTACCAGAACAAACTAGTCGCTACATATAAAGATTGTTTATTCACAGTAAAATATAAATTAAATAAACTGCCTTAAATCCCAAATCATTGTTTTGTCTGAAACAAAACTCGGCTACTTTATTGACCCCCTCCAGTTGAAAAATCACTTCTCAATCTGCCCCACAACCCAAATCGCAGGGGCATTTAACACTCAACAGAATCCAATCAAGGCGATTGATACAAGATTATGTATTGTTTCGATAGCTGCTTATTGAAAATTCCATAAATTAGTAAATGAAAAACAGAGCGTTTGGCGCTAATGAAATCTCGTACGTCTTCATTGCGCAACCCAAACAAAGCGGCTGGAAATCGCTGATGTCTGAGTGCGGAATGTGCTTAATATCATTAAAATCAATAAAATAAACAACTAATTTGATAAACCGACAGCTGTGGCCAGCCGGGGTGGGGAGCATTCGCGGTGCAGTGACAATGAGCAGCGGTCTAGAGGGCGCTAGAACTGCATCCCCGCGAGCTTTCAATTGGCTGCCCGTCGGTCCAATCAGCGTCCGGGCCCCCTGCACAGGCGCACGCTGCGCCCAGTCGGCCCACCACCCACTGGCCAACCGCAGTGGGTGTTAATTTCCGAGGAACCAGTTTGGCGAGCGGGAGGGCTATATGGCTGCCGCAGTTCCAATTGGACTGTGTGCCTTGCGCTGGCCTCTTTCAACGGCCTCTGGAGCAGGCTCACGGGCAGCCATTTTCTTCGAGCCGTCCCTCTCGCACTCGCAGTCCAGCCCTATCCGGCGCAGTGGTGGCTTGCGAAACCCACCACGGCCAGCTTTACTCACCTCGCAGCAGCTGTACGGCCATCCCGCTCGCACCCACTAGTCCGGCCTACGTTGCCATTTTGCGGCGGGCAGTGCTGCCTTCCCCCTCGCACACACACGATCAGCAGCAGAGGCATTTCGAGGCGACCAGCAGCGAGCCAGAACTTCAGGAGCATTTCAGTCCTGCTGCGCATCTTGAAACGTCAAGTCTTGGCAGTCGGTTAGCGTCAAGTCTTGCTGCGATTTCGAACGCCCAGAAACGCAACGCGCGCGAGTGCAAGTCAAATCAAACCAAACCAAACAGCAACCAAAAGCAAATAAATACAAACCAGCGAAACGAGCACACAGTATACATAACAGCCAAGTGACGTGACTCAGTGCGGTGATGGGCTCGCTGGCCTAGCTAGTGCAAACAAAACGAATCGAATCGAAAACTTATAGTTCTTAGCGAAAGCATTCAAAACAGATAGCTGTCCAGACAGTAAACCCTCCTCCAGCCATGATGATGAACGCCTTCATCGAGCCCGCCCAGCACCACCTGGCCAGCTACGGGCTCCGCATGTCGCCCAACACAACCGCCAGTAACGGCAACCCGCAGCAGCAACAGCAGCAGCAGCAGCAACAGCAGCAGCAGCTCGAGATGGGCCAGCAGCAGCAACAGCAGCAGCAGCAGCCGCTCCAGGATCAGGACTCGGCAGCGGTCACGGCCGCGGCTTACCAGAACTCCGGCTACGGGCACTTTAACGGCTACGCCTCCCGGGACTTCCTGCTGGGCCGCAGGGAAGCCGACTACGGGGTGGCCGGCTCCGCCGGACAGGCCACCGCCGCGGCGGACTCCATGCTCTTCTCCGGCTTCCCCGCCCAGGCCGCCGAGCTGGGCTCCGGCTTCGGCCAGCACCCGTTCCACAGCCACCACCACGCGGCCGCCGCCGCCCACCACCATCAGCACCAGATGCGGATGGGCATGGCGGACGCCTACGCAGCCGGGCACCCGTACAACCACCACAGCAACTTTCCGGCGGCCGCGGTGCACCACCCAGCCGTGCACCACCCGGCCCACCATGCCATGTCCGCGATGCACCCGGCCGGAGCCGGGGCCTTCCTGCGCTACATGCGCCACCAGCCGACCTCCGCCGCCTCCAGCGTGAAGCAGGAGATGCAGTGCCTCTGGATCGACCCCGACCAGCCCGGCCTGGTGCCGTCCGGCGGTAGGAAGACCTGCAACAAGGTCTTCCACTCGATGCACGAGATCGTCACCCACCTGACGGTGGAGCACGTGGGCGGACCGGAGTGCACCACCCACGCCTGCTTCTGGGTGGGCTGCTCCCGCAACGGACGCCCCTTCAAGGCCAAGTACAAGCTGGTCAACCACATCCGCGTCCACACCGGCGAGAAGCCGTTCGCCTGCCCGCATCCGGGATGCGGCAAGGTCTTCGCCCGGAGCGAGAACCTCAAGATCCACAAGCGCACACATACGGGTAAGTACGGCTGGGAAATGTTAGTGCTCTCTATCGAAATCCTTGAAGGCGGAATATGAATTTAGGTTTGGATGAGTAAAACGAATTCACAGATTTGCTAAAGAACGCTCCTTTACAGCTTTAACTTGGACGGATTAGAATAACCATAGGTGAACTTTTATAATTTCAGTTCCTCTAAGCCCAAAGCTTTATTTTATGAAACCAAGTTTCATAAGATAAAAGGGGTTCGAGTAAATAAAGTTCCAAAGTTCTTTTTTAATCAGTAATCAAAAAATTATTTCAGAGAAACAGAAAATTCTTTATCCACTTAAAGCTTAGAAAGCAAAAAATAAGAAGAATAGAAAATAACATGTTTTTTAAACTGTATGTATGATCGATTAACAATGACAAGCAAACATGTTTTTTCTGTTTCAAAGCGCATCTCTACGATTAAACTAGAAATACTTTGTACAGATTTTTAGGGGCAAAGAGCTTTAAAGACTTTCAGAGCAATTATTATAACAAACTCAGAATTTAGTATCGAAACGCATTTTGGAAATTGTTTGTTTTTTTGACTATTGATTGAAAATTTGTATATGAAGGGTAATATATGAAGGGTAAAGGTCGGAGTTCCTGATAATTTCCTAGGCAAACATCAGTTCACCTTGCCACCGGTTTAACCCTTGCCCTCGTCTGGGCAAATCCCGCACGATATGGAAGTGGGCGTGTTGCCGTCGGCAAAAGTCGGTGCAACGCCCACTACCCGGCTTAACCCGCCACTGGCCGCTCGGGCCTTCTTTTACGACACCTGTAAAACCTGCGTCTTAAGCCTTCCCTCAGCCCCGAAAATCCCCTTAAAGTTGTTGTCTTCGCAGCAAGGATTATTCCTGCGACTTCAGCTTGACTTTGACTTTGCCATCTTCGGTGTTTCCCTAAGCCTGAGAACTCCTCTTGACTTTAGAATTTGGCTAGCAAATCCAATGTGATTTTGGTTAGGTCACAGGAGAAATCTTAACAGAGAATGTTCAGTTCTGTATGCAGCTGAACTTTTTTTCTCATTTTAAGACTCGCCAAATAAAATAAATAAATTATCTTATAATATCAATTCAACAACCAGCCAAATTCTTCAAGATTTGTTTTTAGATTTTAATAAGTTTTTTCTCATTTACAAATTAATTATTTCTTTACAATTTTGGCTCCATTAATCACGCCAATTTTGGGCATTTCTCTTTCGATTGTCTTGCAAGAATAAATCAAAACAAAGCTCAGCTTAACATCAGCACTTCGACAAAAATTAATCAGAAATAAACGAATACATTTTAGTACTTCTTTTGTTTGAGGTTTAAAACCGCAATTTATGTGCCATGGTCGTGATCTATGAGAAGTTGAACTTTAAAGCCAGAGAGCGAGCTTAACGCAAATTAATGACTTTGATTCCAGTGGCTGTTGAACTTGTTCCATTGAAATTTATGGCTGAGCATGTAGGGCTCATTAGAAGCGGCGAAACACAGACATTAAAATCAATTAACCAGGGAAGAGCCAGAGAAATCAGACATTAAATGCGAAAACACAGTACAAAGTTGCCGGCAGAACTCTGGATAATTGTTTTAAAATTGTGCCACTCGATTTAATGAACCCACCGGCAAAGAACAATAAACGGAGGCGAAATGGAAATGGGAGTTCTGTGTGCCTAGCTCCCAGTATTATCCTTGTTCGGTGGGGTCCTTCGTTTATTAAACTGGCAGGACGGATAGAACCGGAGAAGAGAAAGCTAGAGAGCGCACAACAAGAGCAATCTGACCAACAAATGCCGTACAGCCGCATTCCGGAATATCCAGAAAATGGCGTCTCATATCGCCGGGCATATTTTACACATTTTTGTTGCCTTAATTTCGCCTTTGCCTTTGCGCACTTTTTCTGCCTCGTTATTGTCCCTGTTTGGTGCGTGGTCCTTAACAAGTTTTTGTGGGGATTATTTGGCTTTATACTTTTATAAATTGAATTAAAATATGAGGTCTCTCTTCTCGGGGGCTTCATTATAGACACATTTTATAGTTATCACCGCGAGCGCCGAAATAAAACTCTCACACAGATCCATAAATCACTAAATTAGCTGCACAAAAAAGCTATTTTTCCAAATCTGTTCGGACAAACAATATTTTCTTTTGCACACTCATCGAAAGGTAATTAAAATGTTTCGATTTGATTGTCGAGACGCCGCCATATTGTGTTCGATTTAGGAACAATCATGTGGCATTATAATGATCTCAGGGGGCACTGTGAGTTGGTTACCGTGTGTACGATATGATGATATTTTTGACTAATTTCATATTTCTTTTTCTCCGGCGTGATGCGGCAAAAAGTGAGTTTTTTGGGCCCTGATTTCTGTGTGCCTTCAATTGGCCGGAGATGGCGAACACATTGATTGGCTTTCAAGTGGCCGACGCACAACTTCATTAGGGAACGGGCCTTTAACCTTTTTGTTTGTGCCCGGGCACTTGAACTACGTACCTCTACGTACCCCCGCTCTCCTCCTCCTCCGACTTTCCCGCTGCATAAATCAAAAATTCAATCAGCATCGCTGGCTGGGCAAATGTCCCTTGGCGCTGCTGTTTGTTTTTATTGCACTGACACCAAAACCAACAGCAGCCAAACAAACACACACTTTGGCGGGCACACACACACACACATGTGTTGACACGTGTCAAAACTTCCGTTTGTAATCGCTCGGAAATGCTTCTTCGGCATCCGTGCTTGGCCCTCTCGAAAAAGCCATCGAAACCCCGAATCTGGGGTAACACTCCGCGGATTACTGCCTGTTTCGCCAACATTCCGGTCCTCCAGCTCTATTTTATTTACGTTTGCGATTGTTCCTGTTTCAGTTTGTGATTCTGATTCTGATTCAGTTGCTGTTTCTGTTTCTGTTCTGGTGGCTCGCCATGCTACATTAAGCTCTTGATTTAGATTATGCATAGGTTATTTATGAGCTGGCTTCCACTCCTCGCCGATCGGGAGTGGGTCGAATTTGATAAGTGGGTGAGTAAAACGGAGCAGGGCAGTCAAGTATGTGTTTATGGATATGCGATTTGGATCTGCCTTAAGTGGTGCCATTAAAACAGCGAGAACTGATTGCAGGGGTCAATATACGATGGCGAACATCGAGTTTTAGAATTAGAGTGTGAGATGGGGTATGTGGTAATCTAGATTTAGTCAGGGCGTTAATGACAAGTATGTCTGTTTAACATAAACATCAAAAAATATATATTTCCTTTATAAAACTAATTAGCTATGTTCCTGTTAAACTATTATTTTGCCTACATTATTTATTTGCTTTAACTCAAAACACTAAATTATAAACTTTTATTACGTTTCAATTAATCAACTAGTGTTAGTACTACCTGTGCTACCTAATGTTTCCTTAAACTTTATCGTAAAATCTATTCTGAATTTTGATCTTGATAGAAACACTTTTTTATTTCAATTGCGACGTTCTTGTTAGTGGATGTGTTGTGTTAACTTTTGCACTTGTCACCGTCATCGTCTGCAATTTTGTCCAGCCCCCTGCCCCAAACCCTTTCCCACCTCCAGACTCCGCCCCCCAAAAACCCGCAAAAAAGGCAGCAAACAATCAAGGTTTGTCTGCTCTGTGGCTGTTGTTTTGTGTCGTTTTTGTTGTTTGGGGCTCGGTTGACCTGCCGGGGAGGCTGAGTGGCGAGTGGGAGCTGCGAGTGTCTGGATAGATGGCGTTTATCACGCTGTGCGGTTGGCACACACAGCCATCTTTTACACGATTCTTTTTCAGCCCGCTCCTCCTGGCCGGACCACAAACAACTTTATTCATTAACACCTACAACGGCCACAGGATCCGGATCCGACTGCCGCAAGAGCATTCAACAACTTTGTGGTTAGTTTTTATTCGCAGCCCCCTCAGTCCGCCATTTCAAGCTCATTAAGCTTGCTGCTGCTAACCGCCTCCCCCTCTGGGTTTCCCAGCATTTCCCCGCTTTCCCGCCATCCATCGCCTAAGTGCAGTCACTCGCTTTCCAGGCGCCTTGTTGTTGTGCAATTATGCTGCGGGGCAAAGTTTAGCATTCAACATTGTCCTGGTGGCTGCGACCCTTGTTTGATTAGCCCCCTCGCGCCAGGATGCCCCTTCTCAGCTCCAACTCGACTCGATTTAATTGAGTGCAAGTGTTTTTTTAATGAGTCTTTTATGGACTTGTTCGGGCTTTGAACGATGGAGTGAATTATGCAATTATTTGCGCTTTTCAAAGGCTGCAATGGGGATAAAAGAGCAGGGAACGTATTGCTTTAGCTAGGAGTTTGTGACATTGAGCATTCAAAACTAATGCAATTAAAGATTGTTTAAATAACGAAATCGTTACTTTGAACCATTTAGCTGTCATTTTGAAACCAGTTTATCTTCTATTAAGAATTGGTAGCATGTAGCGTATCTAAACTATAATGTCTTTTCCTATTTTGTATTCTTTATTGAACTTATTCTAACAAAACCCCCCAGTAATTTGCACTGCTCACCTCTGCTGCATTTTTTGCTTGCTCGGCGCCAATAATATAATTTTTCAAAACACAGAATTTAAAAGAACCAAAGCGCTGGCAAATGCCAATGATTGATGACTTTATTGCGGGTTCAACGGTTTTCACAAAACACACACCAAACAGACCAGCAGATACGGATACAGATACAGATACAGATACATCGAAGCGAGAGACAAAATCACTTTTTATTTTTGCGGATAAACAGTGTGTTTTGGCTTCTCGGAATTTGACTGCTGCCAGAAGAACAATGGCCAGAAGACGAGGACGAGGAGAGTCAGCGGGAGGGGGCGGTGGAAAAAACCTGCGATGTGCCCGGGCTGATTGCCTCAACTACCTGGTCGGAGTTCTCGGCCAGGATCTGCTGCCTTCCTCCCTCCCTCCCGCTGGCCCACGAACTGCGAACTGAAAATCAATTAGCCACGCTCTCTAGGAGCAATTCCCGGGTCTGCTAACCTAATGACAAA